TTGAAAGACTCAAGTTTGAGGCAAACACTTTCTTAGCTTCAGCTGCTCCTTCAGATGCACAAAAGAGGGGACTGTACTATCATGCTATCTATCTTGCTTTCCTTGATACCAATACAGTTATAGCCTAATTAAATTGAATGGGAAAATGCAGAAAGATGTTCAAAATGTAACTTTAAAAAGTTCTGTGATTTTTTTGGGTGGGGGGATTTACTTCAAATTAAAAAGCTGAAATAATTTCCAATGCAATGCACGGACAATAAATGCAACATTTTTCCAACAACGTCTTTCTTTTCAACTGGGGAATATTTTATTACACTAATAATGCAAATGACAAGGACAGTCATGGTCATTCAAAAACATGAGGTCTTCGGTTGCATTTTACACTAAAAAAAATTGAAATCTAGACAAAAATCACAGAATTTTCGGCAGAACGTAAAACCTTTGTTTACTTTTTTCTTCACCTTAACTTTTCTCAATCCTCCAACTGTGACATATTAATAACAGAGTTGTTCGAAATCGCGTTCAAAATTGCGTTTATGTTTGAAAGGGAAGACCTCTCTGCATACCTGATCACTGACCAAGCACCGACTTCAACCAAATTCACAGAGACCAGGTCTTTTTCCTCAGTTTATTTCCTTTTTCTAACTTTGCCTTTGTAGATCAACAATGAACAAGGACGTTTTTTCTTACACGTATACTCAATCTGAGGGCGGGGAACAAAGTGCCCAGATATCTCATTCAAAACTATTTACTAAAACACTGGATACATGTATAACCAGCTACCTGTATACAACTACTCATAAAAATCAGACAGAATAACTTATACATAGTAAATGGGACTTACAAACATCAAATAGACTTTACCTCTATTAAATGCCATCTCCAGCAATGGTCAAAAAAATCCCTGATTGAACTTCAGTGCATTCATGAGCACAAAGGGTTTATTTACTTATGTATTACATTTATATGGGTACAAGTGTAGAGAATTTTGGTCCCTTCTACCTAATTACATATCCAAGACATAAAATGAAGCCTCTATGGATATTTCATGTTCTGTGATACAAAATTCCTGGGTTGTTTTTCTAAAATCAAAACAAATATCAAATAATGCTTTGTGGTTTTGATTTTTTTCTTTTGCTGACAAACCAGTGGAGGCTGCAAATAATACAAAAGCTGCTTGACATAGAGGGGAAATTCAATGCAGAGGGACTTCTTGCAAGTACAACTTCAAAATTAATTTTTCTTCTTGGATTAATTAAAGATGGCAATACAGCTAATTACAGGCATGAACATTGATCATGCGTTGCAGTGTATTTTTAACGTGTGTTGACTGCCTCAGGTAAAATGACCTTAAAATTTCCAAGATTGGAGTGCTGATTGTGTTTATTATCACATTTCCATAAGATTGATTTGTAGAGAAAATCCACATTGCTTGAGGCAATAAGAAAGCAAATAGCACAAATTGGAATTCAAATCTACACAAGAAACACTACAGGAAAAGAAGCATTACCAAACACAAAACGGGGACAAAAGCACAAAACCACACATACACACGCATACTGTGAAGATGTAAAAATACTCTATTGGTTTGGCAAGGCTACAAGAAGGAATCTGCCAAAAAAGAACCAATTTGCCAACCCAGGTGGTCTTCTGGGGGGGCTACTGGTGCCTAGGCACGCTCCCCACGGATGCGTCGGGCCAACTGGATGTCCTTGGGCATGATAGTGACCCGTTTGGCGTGGATGGCGCACAGGTTGGTGTCCTCAAAAAGACCCACCAAGTAGGCCTCGCTGGCTTCCTGATTGAATGAATGAGACACACAAGGTGACAGATGTCAAGGACATGTTAGCAAACGATTCCCTGGACATTGATAAGGCTGATGTTTGGTTCCAACAAATAAACCCACCAAGCAACTTCCAGAATACTACCAAAAGCCTCTGATGCACAGGAAACCAATGGCACAATTACTCTATCACACTTTCATGGGGTTTTGAGCCCCATACGAAAAAAAAACCATGGCTGAGCTCTTCCATTACTACCAATCTAACAATATTCTCCTCCCCTAGCAGTCACGGAAAATTTTTGGAGAGGGCTGAAAGATTGTCACAACAATAGGAACGTTAACGCATTTACAAATGCTGCCATTCACAGCACAGCTGTGTCAACTTTCCATAAGGATGAATGTCACATTTTTGTAGCAATACAAAGAATTACCACTGTTGCAGGCCTGCCAACCTAGCCGTACTCCTTCCTGAGGTCAGGCATGATCATACAATAGATTAAAAGGTATTTCAAGGAGCCTTCAGTTCATTTCAATTTTGAATCTATTGTATGGTAATGCCTGACCTCAGGAAGGAATAAGGCATGTTGACAGGTCAACTGTTCTTACATTACCTTTGAATTCTAAGAGATATCAGACGCTTTGAAGTAAATATTTGAGGGAAATTGGAGTAAAATGACAACCAAGTGCTGACCTGTATGTCAGATTTTCAACCTGGTCAATCACAAGTCTATTACAAGTAAAGTAAGGACTACAGGTCTAGTTAAAATATTGGGGTAAAAGGGGGCGATAACTGACAAGTATGTGCCTTCTGTCCACCCCTCTCATTCATTCCAATTGCGTGTGACTCTGACTGAAACTGGACAACTTGTCAGTGAGCTGATGCTCAAACTCAGATGGCCCTGCCCATTTTGATGAAGTCACAAACCTGCAGGGCTCCAATGGCCGCGCTCTGGAATCGCAGCTCAGTCTTGAAATCCTGGGCAATCTCACGGACCAGACGCTGGAAGGGCAACTTGCGGATCAGCAGCTCCGTGCTCTTCTGGTAGCGACGGATCTCACGGAGGGCTACGGTGCCGGGCCGGTATCGGTGAGGCTTCTTGACACCGCCAGTCGACGGGGCACTCTTGCGGGCTGCCTTGGTGGCCAGCTGCTTGCGGGGGGCTTTCCCACCGGTGGACTTACGTGCAGTCTGCTTCGTACGAGCCATGATTTATTACAAGTTGATTTCTGGAGAGGAAAAAAGACAAACCCAAAACCCTACATATGAAAACACAATAAAACTTTACAGCAAACTGGTCATAAATCAGAATTACTACCAAAAAAATTATCCACAAGATTCCATTTCTGGCCATGGTGTCGGTTGGAAAAATTCTAAAGGGATAGCAAAACTTCACCTGAGTATATTTAAATACCGACTACCAAACAAATTGTATTTACAGAACTTGTAGGGTGTGCCTTTTACATGTAGATCTCTCAAAAATGTCATTAAACTATGGTTTAGTAAATTCCTTCCTTACCATCAGGATTCAGAAACAAGCGTACACATACATTACTACTTACATTTCAAGTATCAAGTATAAAACTGACCGACATCCTTCAATTAATGCCACAACAACAATCGGTCACAAACTATCCCAAGCGTTTTGAACAGTGGATCACATGACACTACTACGTGCTGCATGCCACACAATGCATGCATACAGGCCATGGATCCGCGTGGTCCCAAATGACCTCAACGGTTTCCTATTAAAACAGTGCAGATGGAGGAAGGACGCACATCCTGTGGTCCTGATGTGTTGTCATGTGAACACTAACAATCACTGACGTCCCCTCCCCTTCCAAAAAAGAGAAAGGTAATATACTGCAGTGGAAATACATCAGACACTTTGGAATGTGATCCAAGTATTTGTTCAGGCTACTTCCCAACCACTTTAATAGTCATCATTGCAAAGTAACCCTTGTAGTCTGCACTCTGCAGGAACGTACTGCTTTGACCAAAAAAAGTGGGAGGGGGGAAGGAACTTGACGACACACTCATCCGTAGTTAATGGTTATCATGCACCACAAAGCACATAACGTGTAGGCAATGTTATAGCCAGCCTTATTTTAGTGCGGGACAATTTAGTAATGGCGAGCTCAGGAGCGTAGTGACCGCAGTCTCACGGGTCATGGCCGGGGGTCCAGGGGCCCGCTTAAGGGGACTCTAGATCACTTTCTCATTGAGTTTTTCTTTCTAAATTGATTAACAGTTAAATTTTTTGAAATTCTTATGAGTAAAAATAAAAATTTTCTTAGTGACCAATTTTTTTTCTGGGATTTTAAAGGATTTTTGTGCTGGTTGGTGGGCTGTTTCATCAAACTGGAACTACTACATGTACATGTATGCTCTTGCTTTTGTATCGGCGTGGCAACTGAACATGTGCAGTACTTGGGGTGCTTAAACATCTTCTGATCTTTGTCCCTTCACCTTGCACATTATCAGTGATCAGATCTAGGGCACTTCTTGACTGAATTCAACATACTCAACACACACCTCGAGAGCTAAGAATAAAAAGAAGGTAAATTAAATGTATTAACGCAACCTCTTTCCATGGGTACGATCTTGCCACGCAATGTTGGTTCCCCGTGAAGGAAAGCACCCATAAACCATGGAGTCAACGTTGCCAATGAGACGATGCATGTATCATACTAGGGGTGTGTCGGATATTTGATCGAGTATCAAATATTTTCCGAATTTGAATATTCAATTGCAAAATTTATGAAAACGAAGAAAGTAATTTCTTTTGTTTTAAATGAGAAAAATTGCACTGTGGAGGCTTGTTTCAAGCAGATTCAAATGAAAAACAACAGAAATCATACCATTCAAAAAGTTAATTATTCATTAAAAGCTTTTAAAGGATAAGAAGTATTGCTTGTCTCTAAATCTTGCTAAATCGTGGCTGGAGACACTCCTAGATGTGAGAAGCTAGTATTATAGTGATTATAATGTACAATTGTGAGCGTTATTGCAACTGATTTTGTATATGGATTGTTCGTTAACAATCTGCCCGAATATGTGCATATTTGATCAAATTGAAGGTCGAGTATTTGGAAAGTGAATTATTCGTATTGAATCAGCCCTATATCATACGTCAGTGGACTGGTTGCCATCCCTATTATACACATTCGGAGGGCTGTGACAGAACAGGAACCAGTCCTCCATTCAACAGACATATGCAACAGTAATAGGTCTGAATTTTGCCCAAAATAGCTCATAGGCGGTCCAGAAAACCATCGTAAATAAGTGGTAATGAGATATTACTTAGTGTGGACGGCTTTTGGGGAGAAAATTTGATTGACAAAATGCAGTTTTATACAAAGTAAACAGGTCCATTCAGAATCCCATAGCGTTACAAAGCAATGGAAAGTTTCAACTGTGAGGCGTGTGCCTCACAATTCTGGGAATACACTTTATCGTTAAAATTTATGTACGTTTTCTGTCCAAGTATCGTATCTCATTCGTCATTGTCATTATATGATCATTGTGCACACTTCTACGTTACATGGTTGCTTGTACTTCTGTAGACCTCAATTTTACATCATTCATTTTTTAGTTCATGTTACGCATTACTTCGGCCCTTCGACTTTTGTTGTGTAGGCTAGGAATCGTGCATGTCATGATGTAAGCAGGCATGGCAGGTAAGGTCATGTATTATTAGGACGCAACTTGTGCATGACTTCCAGCCAGCACTTTTGCCATGCAAAGGAACATAAAATGCACTTGTTTTCACCTTGCACTGATCAGAGGTTACGCGAAGTCGTGTCAGCAAATAATATGAAATAGACCCGTTACCCGTTAACAGGGCCCTACTTAATTTAATGACAAAGTAGTCTACGAAGGGTGTATCAACAAAGGAGTATACTTGGGGCCCTATTTATGGGTCTAAGACATGTAGAGCTGCAGCTATAGGAACATAAGGAAGTCATGGAAGTTACATTTTCTTTAGTTTCAACACCAAGAAAAAATCTATAGCAAAAAGGCCCTGTGAGTAAAAAACTAAAGACAGGAAAGATACACTTTTTAAAAATACACTCTGAAGCTTTTGTGTTGACAAAATTTAATAAAATATTATGGTCAGATGGTGTGAAGAACAAAATTTTGCGGAGAAGAAACACTAACCTTTGATCAATGCACAACGGCGCTTTCACTTCTGTTTTGCGCTGACGAAATTAATTTTCTTTTTTAGCTGAAAACCATCCACTCTCAAAATGATATAATTACAATTTGTCGTATCTAAGATATTTTCCCCATAAATTACACTTTCATTTGTAAAAGTAAATAAATATTAAAAAATGTATTATGTCTGACAGAACATCTTCATCTAATGGTATTATAAATAACATATCTTGGTACTCCTTAATGTTTTTTGTAAAGAGCCTGTGTGGGGTTATTGACCGACTAAAAAATACAGACGCTGCACGCACGTACGTAGGCTAGGCATGCAGTGCATCAGCAAATTATCCATAGCGTAATGTCATGAATGTGGGCTTGTGCCTTTTCTGACTTAAAATTCTGTTGGGCAACACAGGTTATTGTTGAAATGCGAGGATGGATGGCAAGTGTTTCAGTTGCACCGAAAAATTTGGGATTTTCAGAAGAGAGGTAGGCATGGTAGGCAAGGCCTAACGTTTGATAATTGAACGTTGGTTACGCGCGCCCAACATGCCGCCTGCACGTACCTAGGCCGGACCGTAGTATATGTACCCTTGCCTTGGCCCAAGCACAATTACGTCAGGTTCACAAGGACATGGTGCTCACGAGGTGTACATATATAATGGGAAAGAGTTCCGTACACAAATTTCACCTGGCACCATGTGCTAAACTATATGAGCATGGTCTGAAAAGTTAAACGTCTTTTCTCAGTAAACACTCCAATATTTTCAATGCTAGGTCTAAATATGGCATGTTTTCAGGGCGTTTTATCACTTCCTGGTGAATGATATTAGTGATAGAGCTACAACCTTGACATGATCTGCCAATCAGTTTGCATGGGCTTGGAACTGATCGATGGAAAATAGTGGATTTTCCTCACACACGTTCCATAACTGCAGGTACCAACTTTTTTCATTTGTTATGTTTGTACTGTTGACTGATATGAAGCCCCATTAGTGCCACTTTTACTAGGTGATATATATTTCGTGGGGTGGTGCATGTTTCTTAGTAAGTTGTGGCCACAAAATACTAGGTTGCGTCTGCAACTTCTTGAGAAACATGTACCAGCCTGCATTATCACCTAGAAAAAGTGGCACTTATTGGGCATCATAGACATAACGATTTGTGATTAAAAAATCTCCACTGACTGAATGAAGGTTTGACGCATTTGACCCAGAAGAGAAAATATTTTGATCTTTTATTTTTGACCTTCACCTATTACAGACACTGTGGCATGAGAAACCATGGTGGAACATGATGAAAATAAGGAAGGAAGTATAATTGAAAAATTATGAAAAATAGCCTCATTTTTGGATGCAGATCTATAGCTCATTGCCGTGGCCTTTAGTGATATCTGTATAATTATTAGGGAACTGTTATTCACTCAAATTATGACAGAAGGAATAATTCCTGTGTGCTGAAATGGACTAAGCATAGCTTTTTCAAAGGTGGTTGACTGATGTTTGAAACTCCAGTTCCAAAATAGGCAGTGCCAGGGCAAAGGCCTTAAAAATGTATGCTGAATATAAAAATCACTGAGACAGTACGCCATAGTCATGATGGTAGCTACATTTTTGAATCATAAAAGAGAGTAGCTACCAGTAGCATGCATCTTCAGAAAGTGGTGCCCTGCCTCTTCGTTCCTCCTCCAATATAGTCTTTCTGGTGAGAGCGAGCAGTGGCTTCAACAGGTAGAGTGGCGTAGCTGTAACAGGTTGAACGGGAGAGGGGACACGCCCTTGGTATTGTCATTGCCCCAACGTGGCCCATGATGAGTTTGGTAAAAATCAAGTACATGCACATTATCTCCGCAGGTCTAGATGGACCCAGGTTAAAAGTGGGGATCTTTGAGCCCCTAGAAATTGTCTTTTCAACTGTAATAGCCTTTGCTCTCCAGCTGCATTAAAGACTGTTGAAGATACAAATTGATGCAGTCAGAGAGGGCTAATTGTGTGATTCTGAAGCAGTTGTACATGCACCTGTGCTTGTTGATGGTGTCCTTCATGTCTGGAGACGGATATGATTTTTGCAACTAATTGACCTAGAGGGACCAATGTTGACACGGACATGATTTTTGCAACCAATAAACTGTGGACAACGTTTCTTAAACACCTTGTTTATATTTTCCTACAGCACGGTTGTAAGAGTTGCGGGTTTGCCTTCTGCAGCAAATGCCTAGATCACTCCATCGTGGTGCCAGGCAAGGGCCCGAAGGAACAGAGCGTGTGCAGCAAATGCTACAAGCGGCTGACAGTTCCGCCCAGCAATGAACCGGAGGAGGGAGAGAAGTGGACATTGCCGGAAAACTTCAAAAAGTAAACAGGAGGTTTCTTTTTCAAACCCAGTTGTTGGAAGATTTTGGTAAAACAAATGACCAGCACTAAAGGTGGGGGTTCTCTCCGTCCCATATCTTGCTTCAAATGTGCTATTGGATTCTTACAACGTTGTGGATTGTGAAAATTTCAGGAATGTTTCTGTAGTAAAATAGGGTTGAGGTTTTTAGGATCAT